TTCGTTTTTTTCCCCTCCCTTTCGATAAAAGAAAATTTCTTTTCTCTCTCTCTCTCACACACCGGAAATCCAAACTTTTTTACTTATTTTCTCTCCTTCCCGCCCCCCCGAAAAAAAAAAATGTCTATTTTAATTTTTTAATTTTTTTGTTTGATTTATTATTACATCCGTTGTTGTAAAATTTGAGTAAAACTAAAAAATAAAAAAAAGGTAAAAATTATGGGGGAGGGGAGTAAAAGAAAATTTTACTTTTTGATGTGGAGATTTTTACCCTAAGGGACGTAAAACAACAAAAGTTAAATTCAACAACAACTTCGTGTTTGTTGTTTGTTTGGCCGGTGGGCAAAACAAAAAAAAAAAATTCAAATTTTATATATGTAAAGATAAATAAAAGTCATTCACATCCCGATTATTTTAAATACGAAAAAAAAGGTTCGGTTATAACCTTTTGACCTTATGACGTATCATCACGCGATTAAGTAGAAAATTATTATTATTATATTACAGGTGCTTTTCTCATACCTTATTGCATCATGTTGATATTCGGAGGTTTACCGTTATTTTACATGGAACTCGCACTCGGACAATTTCACAGATGCGGTTGTTTAACAATCTGGAAAAAAATTTGTCCAGCGTTAAAAGGTAAACAAAAAATTTTTTTTTTCGTCGAAAACGACGACGACAACCCCTCGCTCCCCACCCCGTCTCTCTCTCTCTCTCCCTTCGTCATGAGAAATAAAAATGGAGAAAATAAACGAATAAGTTAATAAGTGAAAAACAAATTTATAAATGGCAACTCTGAAAATTAGTTTATCATGCATGAATACAAAATTTGATTTCATCCCCCTCCCTTCCTCCCTACTTCCTGTCAAAAAAAAGATTTATAACTAGATTTTGATACAATTTGAATTTAATTATTATCATTATTTATTGTGCGTGTGCGTGTGCGTGGTGCGTATTTTTTAATTAATCAAATCAAAAACTACGAAATCAAATCCTTTTCATTGCAAATCCACCATAAAAATAAAAATAAGATGAAGGAGATGAAGATAAAAAGGAGATGAAGAAGATGGAGATGAAAAACAAAAATTAAAATAATTTTATTTTCCCTAATAATAATAATAATAATAATAATAATAAATGAATGAATGAATGAATAAATAAAAATTTGATTAAGTCGAATAAAAAAAACTTATTTGAATTTTTTTTTTTTTGGGAAAAAAAGTTTTTTCTTATCGTTATTATCATCGTAGTGCGTCGTGCCACGCATTTAAAACGCAAAAAAAGAAGCAGAAGAAAAAAAAATTTAAAGAGATGAGCAAAAAAAAAAAAAAGAAAACCAAAAAAAAAAAAAGTTTTGATTGGCTAAATTATCGATTATCACAAAAGTTTTTTCTTTCTGAATTATTATTATAACTTTTTTGTAATGGTGGGAAAAAAAAACTAAGGCAATTTTCTATTTTTTTTTTTTACTTTTCTTTTACTTTTCCTTATCAATTCGAAAGAAAAGGAAAATTCGTTACTTATGATGATAACGTATATATCTAATATGGCGGAATATATTTAAATTACATTTCGCAGGAATCGGATACGCAATTTGTTTAATCGATGTTTACATGGGAATGTATTACAATACGATCATTGGATGGGCCGTTTATTATTTTTTTGCTTCATTTAATTGGGAATTACCCTGGACAACATGCGATCCAGAATGGAGCACGCCATTATGCGCTCCGACAAACGATACTAGTAAAAATGATAGTTCTTTACCTGCAAAAGAATATTACGAGTGAGTATTATTATTATTACCACTCCTTACCCGTGTTAATATTATTATTATCGAAAATTAATATTCGCAGGAGAAAAGTTTTGGAAATGCAAAAAGGAAATGGTTTGGATGATATGGGACCGATTAAATGGGAACTTGCATTGTGCGTTTTTGCCGTTTTTCTTTTAGTTTATTTTTCCCTTTGGAAAGGAGTTAAAAGTACTGGAAAAGTAAGTATATTCCCTCTCTCCCTACTCCTGGAATCCCTTCTTTTCACATTTAATCTTCGTTTCTCTCTCTCTCTCTCTCTCTCTCTTTTGAAATAAAATGAGATAAAGAATCCTGTAATGAATTCAAAGTAAAAG